TGAGCGGCGGCGACAGTTGTCGTGGATAGCATGGTCGTCTCTCTACTTATCTTGAGAGATGCCCTTCTTTGGCCGAAGTATAGTCTAAAGGGTGTTTATGTAAAGGATGTGAACTTGTAAATTTAAGGAGTTAGACATTTAGTGTATCTTCCAGTTAAGTTAGGGTTAATTCCCTTCAAATATAGCTTTTATGGCATCTGCCTGAGATGCTACAAGCTCTCATTTTTTCTCCCCCAGGTGCCTCCTAATACTGCCACATGTCAAGCAAAGATAGGTTTTCTTTTCTTCTTCTTGAGAAATAGGATTGGCCTATGTGGAGAGACTGATTCATGTGGATCAGATCGAATCAATATGAGAACCAGAACCACCAACTCCATTGCATTGTCGGAATACATGATTCATATTTGAAACATGTTGACCTCCATGTTTCTCTCGTGGTGTAATCCCCTCCTAAGAGTACTTTAAACATATACTCCCTTCGTTCTCAAATATTTGTCTTTCTAGACATTTCAAATGGTTATAATATACGGATGTATATAGACATATTTTAAAGTATAGATTCACTCATTTTGCTTCGTATATACTTCCTCCGTTTCAAAATAGATGACCCAATTTTATGTTAAAGTTAGTACAAAGTTGAGTCATCTATTTTGAAACGGAGAGAGTAGTCATTTGTTGAAAGCTCTAGAATGACAAATATTTGTGAACGGAGGGAGTACTTTGTAAATCACACTCAATTAATGCTTGAAATACATTTCCGCCATCCGAAATATTGCATTTCAGCTTATTATTCTTTGATTGAATAAACTGCACTGCAGCATGATGTCATCATCTTATTATTCTGTGATGTGAAGAAACAGACATTACTGCAGCTAGCATATTTTCACCAGGTTATTATACTCTTTGAACGAATCGTACGGCAGCATATTCTCATTGTTAAATCCCACGGTATACTCAAGAGAGGCACGGCCTTTCGTAATATGAGATGACTATATCTCATCTAGATGTAATATAGCAAATCTGTAATAAAATTGCATAAAAACGTACTTCCTCTGTTTCTAAATATTTGTCTTTTTAGATATTTTAAATTATATTACAGATGTATCCGTATGTAGTCATTTGTTGAAATCTTTAAAAAGACAAATATTTAGAAACGAAAGGAGTACTGCTAACTCCAAACGGGCGGACCAAAACTCGCCGCCCAAATGGAAGATATGGATATTTCCATGCTGGTTCAACCCGGGCGTTCTGATCCCATTTTCCTTAGCCTCAAAGCCACCGGATTTTCCCACAAACAAAATCAAATCCCATCTCCATCTGTGTGCCGCATTCTCCGGTCCGCCCCAAGGAAACGCAACGACGCACTCCATTTTTCCAGAAAGAAACGCACCGCAGTCCCCCTCGAAGACTCCGCGGCCGGGTCCCCCACGTCAGCCGCCGCCGGCAGCCATTGACTGGCCCTCCGACCCCTCAATCCGCCGAATCCCAGCCGTCCGCGCACCCCCACCGCTCCTCCTAAAACCGCGTCCTCGTCTTGCTCCGTCCCTGACTCCGCCCCCCTCAAGAACCCCGCCGATCGACCGTCTTCTTGAATCTTGGATTCTTGATCGCGAGCTCTCCGGCCGGCCATGTCGATCCGGAAGGCGCTGGGCGCGGTCAAGGACCAGGCCACCATCGGCATCGCCAAGGTGTCCAGCGCGGTGGCGCCGGACCTGGACGTGGCGATCGTGCGCGCCACGGCGCACGACGACGGCCCCCCCGACGAGCGCCACGTGCAGGAGGTGCTCCGCCTCACCTCCGGCTCGTCCAGGATCCACGTCGCCGCCTGCGTCGCCACCGTGTCGCGCCGCCTCGCCAGGACCCGCGACTACGTCGTCGCCGCCAAGTGCCTCGCGCTGCTCCACCGCCTCGTGGCCGACGGCGACCCGCACTTCCGCCACGAGCTCGTCCGCCCCGCCGTCTCGATGGGTCGACGTGGTGGTGGGGCGCCCGTGCTCGCGGCGCTCTCCGACTTCCGCGACGAGGCGCACTCCGCGTCCTGGGACCACTCCGCCTTCGTGCGCGCCTACGCGCTCTACCTCGACGACCGCGTCCGCTTCCTCCTCGCCCTCCTCCCCGCGCCCCGCACCGTGCGCTTCGCCGACCACGACGGGTACGGCTACGGTGGCCGCGCCGCCGGGGGCGCCTCGCCGCCTCCGGACATGACGGTCTCGGTGCACGACATGGACGTCGAGGGGCTCCTGGCGCGCGGGCAACAGCTGCGGCAGCTCATCGACCGCTTCCTCGCCTGCCGCCCCACCGGCGCCGCCAGGCGCAGTCGCGTCGTGCTCGCCACGCTCTGGCCCGTCGTCAAGGAGAGCGCCAGGCTCTACGAGGACGTGGCCGTGGTGCTCGCCGTTCTGCTCGACCGCTTCTTCGACATGGAGTACCCGGACTGCGTCAAGGCCTTCGAGGCGCACGTCAGCACCGCCAGGCTCGTCGACGACCTCCTTGCCTTCTACTCGTGGTGCGATGACGCCGGCGTCGCGCGGTCCTCCGACCTCCCGGCGGTCAAGCGCATCGACGACAAGCTCCTCGAGACGCTCGAGCAGTTCGTGCGTGAGCGCGGCAGGGCAGGCCAGAACTCGCCGCCGCCGCGACAGCTTCAGCACGCTGTTCAAGAAGCTTCCCCGAGCGAGGACGAACACCACCAAGCAGAGTACGACATGAACGGCATCAAGGCGCTCCCGGCCCCAGAGCATGTCAAGGCTGCGACGGTGGCGAGGCCAGAGCCGGCGAGAGCTAGCGCCGCGCCGGTGGCCAGGGCACCCGATCAGACTACTGACCTGGTGGACCTCAGGGAGTCCGCGGCAGGAGCCGACGAGCAGGGGAACAAGCTGGCGCTCGCGCTCTTCTCGGAGCAGCCACAGTCCGCGAACAGCAGCTGGGTCGCGTTCCCGTCCGATGACAGCGCCCCCAAGGCGACGACGACCTCCGCGTGGCAGACGCCGGCGGCCGAGCCGGGGAAGGCCGACTGGGAGCTGGCCCTGGTGGAGACGGCGAGCAACCTGTCGCGCCAAACCGCAGCGCTGGGCGGCGGCATGGACCCGCTCCTCCTGCACGGGATGTACGACCAGGGCGCCGTCCGGCACCACGCGCGCGCGCAGGCCGCGTCCGGGAGCGCGAGCAGCGTGGCGCTCCCGGGCGCGCCCGCCGCACACAACATCCTGGCGCTCCCGGGCCCCGACGGCGCGGTCGGCGGCGACCCGTTCGCGGCCTCGCTGTCCGTGCCGCCGCCGTCCTACGTGCAGATGGCGGAGATGGAGAGGAAGCAGGAGCTGCTGGCGCAGGAGCAGAGGATGTGGGCGCAGTACCGACAGGGCGGGATGCAGGGGCAGGCCGGCCTCAACGGGCTCGCCGTCGGCGGCGGTGGGAGCGCGTTCGCGTCCAACACCTCGGTGCCGATGCCCATGGCCTACCACGGAGCCGGCGGGTACTACTACTAGCTCCTCCTCCTCGAGCCGAGCAGCCTCTGCTCGTTGCTGATCGTTGAGCTTTTATCTGTGAATAATACTCTGGACTCTGATGGTGATTTGCTATGAAAAAAATTGTAACGCGAACTGATTTGATCCTGCTCGATCGCTGAGGTTACCATGGCGATTGAGAATTTGAGATTGATGGTGAAAATATACGACGCAATAGTAAACTACTGATAAGAAATCAGTTCTTTCCCCCTTGAGATTGGTTGATTGTTCATTCATCCTTGATGTTTGGGATTTGCTGGATTTTCATGCCAATTTGTCACTGTTGTGATGGTGATAGAGTGTGATGTATATGATGGTGATTTTGGTTTGGTACATGCTAAAACTGAAAGGTATATTGAAATCCAGCCCCGGAATATGTAATGTCATACCTCTGTTGAATGTTTCTTCACATCACAGAATAATAAGATGATGACATTATGCTGCAGTGCAGTTTCTACAATCAAAGAATAATAGGAGTAAGCTGAAATGCAATATTTTGGATGGCAGAAATATATTTCAAGCATTAGTTCTGATAGTGTTTTCCCCCCACATTCCCATTAATTGACTGTGATTTACAAGGTACGTATATGTTTATAGCACTAACTCAGTCTTTGTTTATTGGTCCCCTTTGTAATTTGTGTCAAAATTTGATCAAATATTTAACAAAAAATGATAATGCATGTCAACAAAAATTATATCGTTGGATTCGTATTTGAACATAATGGACAATGATATAATTTTTTGTGATATGCATGAACATTTTATTAGTTAAATTTATAATCAAAATTTGACACAAAATACTGTCGGCGTTCTGTGAATGGGGGTCCCAGACTTGCCTGCCTGCGGCGTGGCTTAAAAGGGGGCCCAGCACGGCCCATCTTCATCAACACGGACCCAAGACTCTCGCGAGGGGCCAAGCCTCGCGGGGCGGATGACACGGAGCTTCCTCAGGCACGGCCTCATCAGGCTGGCTCGCGAGGAGGCGGAGAGATCAAGGCGGGGTACCTCACGAGGTGCCCGTGACGCAAGCCATGACGACCAAGGGTGCCAGGCGGGCGCCAGCCCGCGCAGTGTCCTCCTTTCCTCTTTGGTGCAAAGGGAGCAAGCGCAGGCGAGAGCATCAAGCAAAAGCACCCGTTTTGGTGCAACGAGACCAAGACCAGTCCAACGGCAGGGAGGAAGTCATTGTGGAGCCCAAGCCAGCGTCACCACCAGAGCCTTTGGCAGGCGAGGACCAACTTTAGTCAGGATAAGTGTACCAGATGTTCCCCTAGCTAATGGCGCACCGCCAGGGGGTGCGCCATTAGTAATCTTCCCCCTAGCTAATTCGCCCGATCCCTTCATCCCTCCCTCCACTCCTCCCCTCGCTCCACACCCGCTCCGACGACCCCTGCGCCCCGCCTCGCCGTCTCGGTCCTGGCCGCCGACCCACTGCGCCGCCGCCCCACCCACTGCGCCGCCGCCCGATCTCCTCCGCCCATAAGCCCCCCTCCTCCTCCGCCCGTCCATCGCCTTCGGCCTCCTGCCCCACCCGCCGCCGCCCCACCCGCTGCTACGCCGCCATCGCCGTCGTCCTTGACCTCCTCTCCCCTCCTC